AACACCTGACTGATAAAGAGCATGATTGCAGAGATCATGATCTGCTATAAAGTGTGTAAGGAAACACATTAAGGGGCCTTTGCTCGGGCCAACAATTGAGACAAAAGCCGTCTGTGTTGGTTTGAAAAGATGACGTTCAATCGAGTTTAAAACCGTCAGCCTCGGGGTGTGCCGCCTGTGTCATCCAGAGTGTCTGCAAGCATCTGTGATGTGGTCGATGTCAGGGTGGTGCTGGACAGATGCTCATTTAACTTCACACATGGTAGAGGAACATGCATAATTGATTAAAAAAAAACCATAAGGGGAAGGATAAACTCTTTGGACACGAGGCGATTCTGTTGACTCTATTCAGATTCTGAAGATTTAGCTCTAATGTTTCACCGCACAAATACAGCATCTGTCTGAAGGGGCACATCTACCAAATGTGGCTCTTATCCAAGCAGAGTATCAAAATTGTGGTTTAAATGTTGTATTTAAAGCCCTGATGTATTTTAGGCGTGCTTTAGATTTACATACTACACTTCAAACTCATTTCTGACCAAAACAATAATAATAATTGACCTCCCCTCAACTTACTGACAGCTGAAGTTATAAACAAAAAATGATAATTGAATTTGACACGTCTTAACCTACACAACTGTATGAAATAGTTAAAAAAAAAAAATCAAACTCGAGCAGGTACAGCATTAAAGCGAGGGCTTAAATATTAACCGTTTTAACAGAACGGCCTATTTCTGAGAACTGTAAGCTTACGTTGTATTTTTGACACATTAAACAGTATTTGAATTGTGTAGGCAGCTGACGTGGAGCTAATAATAAGTTGGCACAATCGTTCTCTAATTGATGGTTGACCCTTCCTTAAATTTCATATTTAAAAGTTAAATCTATGACCGATGGCCACAATATTGTGCGTTTAGATACGGAAACAGCCGAAATGACTGAACAGACCAACAATGTACTCAGAAGAGATGTTGGGGATAAGGAAGTCAGGCAATTTTGACTTATTGGTGCAAATTTACATTCAAGATTTGTTGAGAAATATACAGATTGCGTAGGCCTGTCATGATAACAATTAATTGTCTCAGAAATTATTGTGATTAACTATAATATTGTTTGAAATGTGACAAGAATTAGTAATTATTGTCAAATTTAAGAAGAAACATTGAATTTGTTTTGCATGTAGTACCTTTAATCAACCACCAGATGGCAGTATGTTGTTTGAACTGAAGGATGGATAGTGATGGAGCGAGCAGCGTGTATCTTTACAAAAAATGGGAGGGAGGTATCTTGATGTGACACGGGCTTTCTCGTTTTGGTTCTCAAAATGGCGGACACTCGGTGTGGTTTGGTTTGAGCTCTTTATCATAGCATTTGTCACACAAAGTTTTTAATAATAATAATAAATAAATAAAAACTAGTTCTCGGCTTCTTTTTGCAGAGAAAAACTTTTTACATGAAGGCATGGGTTTCAACCGTGAATTTTGGAACTTCAACAAGACGGAGGCTTTTTTCCCGGAGGTCGGCCTGTTAGCTTAGCTTCTCAGCTTAGCTGCTTTTAACGATCCAAAAACACGATTTTGGATGGTTAAAATGGATTTTAAAGAGAAAAGAGAAAGGGAGGAGTCAGTGAAGAGCACCGGAGTTTAGCTTTTTGTCATTTAGTGGCTTCAGTAGAAAGAGAGAGACATGAAGAAACAATAAAGCCGATAAATGAAAATGAGGTCGATAATTTGCATTTATCATGCATTTTGCATGAATTGATTTATTGTTTATCGCAACAGGCCTCAGATTGGGTTTAAAAAAACAATCTATCCATCAAACATTTTTTTTAATGGAGCTACATATCAACAGTTCTGAAAAAATACTGGACTTCAGTCTTTTAAACGGCACAACTCAGTCTAGTTCAGGATAATCTTTATGCTTCTTACAGTTTGCAATGAGCTCCTTTAACGAATCTTAAAGTTAAAATGAAGGAAAATGCAAAGATGAGTTCAACTTTTTTTTTTTAAATACTGTACAAAAAAAAAAAATCCAACTTTCAAACTAAGAAGAAGAACATGGAAACTGTGCACAAACAAATGACTTGCCAAGTTTAAACTGGAGACCTTGTCCGTAAACAGCTGTTTTATGAATACAACTTTTCATTAGCTCCAGACTGGAGTACTGCTCATCACCAGCTAATGACCTTTTATTTACACAACTGATCCTTTGTTAATATCTGCATGACATCATCCAGCAGAGGACTTATTCGACAGATGAAAGGATGGCATGTAAATCCAAATTACTCTGCGTTTTCAGCGCATCGTTCTCTTTAAGCTTCACAACTGTTTCCAGTGTCAGACACGGCCGACCGTGTCGATCGAGTCTCTCAGCGCTCTGAGTGTGAGGTTTACCTCCAGTTGGTGCTCCTCAGCAGAGATGTCTGAGCATGAGGCCTGCTGCCTCTGGCACTGTGCAGACATGTTCCACACTGCTGACGCGCCGCAGCACATAGAAACCATTTCACACGGTGCACCGACTCCTGGAAAAACGAGTGGGAACTTTAACAGATCTGCTGACAGGCTGTGGAGAGAGATCTGCTCTGTGACTGACAAATTACACAAAACCTTTGAGGCGCTTCATTTGAAAAGCAGGTTTTATTATTATCATTAATAAAGTTCAGAAAAAAAAATCATGAATGAAGTTGGTAATTTTGTCACCGATTGTTTCCATTTTTTTTTTTTAATTACTTTTCTTCCTCTTTAAAAATTATGCAGAAATGACAGCAAGCAAAGTGTTCTGTTCAACAAGTGTGTTCACAGCGGGGGGGGGGGGGGGGTGTTGTATTTGTTACCTTGTAAGGCCCATTTTTCCAACTTATATACTACATTGAGAGTGTTAAGAGAATTTTAAAGCATTTTCATCCAACAGTGAGAACCAACTGTTTCTTAAGGGGCCCAAAGCCCAGACCCCATAAGAAGATCTGTTGGTGGGTTAGGGGTTAAGTTTAGGACTAAGGTGTGAACGGAGGATGGGTTAGGTTTAGGGACAGTTGTGTATTGGTAATGGTTAGGTTTATGGTTAGGTTTAGGTAAGGGTCAGGGGTCAGGCTATAAAATTGAATGAAAAATGAATGGAACTCAATGCAAAGTCCACATAAAGATAGCAAGACAAAACTGTGTGTGTGTGTTGATGAGGAAAACCTTTCATGCTTCAAGGCTTGAACACCACCTACTGGTCTGTTGGACAAAGTACTGAACAGTTTTATATTCCATAATATGAAGTCCTAATGATAGCACAGGTCCTTCTCAAAAAATTAGCATATTGTGATAAAGGTCATTATTTTCCATAATGTAATGATAAAAATAAAACTTTCATATATTTCAGGTTCATTGCACACCAACTGAAATATTTCAGGTCTTTAATTGTTTTAATACTGATGATTATGGCATACAGCTCATGAAAACCCAAAATGCCTGTCCCAAAAAATTAACATATTTCATCCCACCAATGAAAGACAAGTGTTTTTAATACAAAAAACGCCAACCTTCAAATAATCATGTTCAGTTATGCACTCAACACTTGGTCGGGAATCCTTTTGCATGAATGACTGCTTCAATGCGGCGTGGCATGGAGGCAATCAGCCTGTGGCACTGCTGAGGTGTTATGGAGGCCCAGGATGCTTCGATAGCGGCCTTAAGCTCATCCAGAGTGTTGGGTCTTGCGTCTCTCAACTTTCTCTTCACAATATCCCACAGGTTCTCTATGGGGTTCAGGTCAGGAGAGTTGGCAGGCCAACTGAGCACAGTAATACCATGGTCAGTAAACCATTTACCAGTGGTTTTGGCACTGTGAGCAGGTGCCAGGTCGTGCTGAAAAATGAAATCGTCATCTCCATAAAGCTTTTCAGCAGATGGAAGCATGAAGTGCTCCAAAATCTCCTGATAGCTAGCTGCATTGACCCTGCGCTTGATAAAACACAGTGGACCAACACCAGCAGATGACATGACACCCCAGTGACTGTGGAAACTTGACACTGGACCTCAAGCAACGTGAATTCTGTGTCTCCTCTCTTCCTCCAGACTCTGGGATCTTGATTTCCAAAGGAAATGCAAAATTTACTGTAATCAGAGAACATAACTTTGGACCACTCAGCAGCAGTCCCAGGCGAGATGCTTCTGACGCAGTCTCTTGTTCAAAAGTGGCTTGACCTGGGGAATGCGGCACCTGTAGCCCATTTCCTGCACACGCCTGTGCACGGTGGCTCTGGATGTTTCTACTCCAGACTCAGTCCACTGCTTCCGCAGGTCCCCCAAGGTCTGGAATCGGCCCTTCTCCACAATTCTCCTCAGGGTCCGGTCACCTCTTCTCGTTGTGCAGCGTTTTCTGCCACACGTTTCCCTTCCCACAGACTTCCCACTGAGGTGCCTTGATACAGCACTCTGGGAACAGCCTATTCGTTCAGCAATTTCTTTCTGTGTCTTACCCTCTTGCTTGAGGGTGTCAATGATGGCCTTCTGGACAGCAGTCAGGTCGGCAGTCTTACCCATGATTGTGGTTTTGAGTAATGAACAAGGCTGGGAGTTTTTAAAAGCCTCAGGAATCTTTTGCAGGTGTTTAGAGTTACGTCGTTGATTCAGATGGTTAGGTTAATAGCTTGTTTAGAGAACCTTTTCATGATATGCTAATTTTTTGGGACAGGCATTTTGGGTTTTCATGAGTTGTATGCCATAATCATCAGTATTAAAACAATTAAAGACCTGAAATATTTCAGTTGGTGTGCAATGAATCTGAAATATATGAAAGTTTCATTTTTATCATTACATTATGGAAAATAATGACCTTTATCACAATATGCTAATTTTTTGAGAAGGACATGTACAGTAGTAACTGGTTTTTTTTTTTTTTACAAGAAACACATTAAAAATATTGCAATAAATTAAATATCTGAAGAGCACAAAAGTTCCCTTTTCCTATGTTGCATTTCTCTCCTGTGTTATCCTCCCACTCAGCCAGAAAGTTCAGGTTGATGTTGGTTCTTTCGAATCTCTTCTGTACATCAGCATGTACGCTGTGCCTCTGTAAAAAAAAAACCAATAATAATAATAATAAAAAAAATAAAATAAAATAAAAAAAAAAAAAAAATATATATATATATATATATATATGTATATATCAGAGTTTCTTTATTTGTCATTCGTGGAACGAAATTGTGTACACAAGGTCCCAGTTACATCCAACAAAAGTATAAATTGTAAAAGAAAAACAGTAATAAGCTCTAAGATATGAACTAAGAAAAATGTTACATAAAAATATGCTAAGCACTAATAGTACAAAAACAATACGCCAAACAGCAGCACGAACATGAGTCTGTGTGAGCAGATGAGTACGAATGAACACAGCAGCATAATGTATTTTTCACAGTGATTATTCTAGTTAGAGATTCATGAGTCTAACAGCCTCATGGTAGAAGCTGTTCCTCAGTCTAGTGGTTCTACACTTAATGCTCCTCAACCTACTGCCTGAGGGGAGCAGGGCAAAAAGTGTGTGTGCTGGGTGAGTGGGGTCCTTCATGATGCAGGTCGCCCTCTTCCTGCATCTGGAGGTGTGTGTGTGTGCGTGTATATATATATATATATATATATAGATATAGATATCTGGCCCAAAAAAAAGTTGCCTCCTGGATTTAACTAAGCAAATAGGTTTGAGCCTCCTATTGGATAATTACTGCATGGGTGATTATCTTTCAGCTGCAACAAGTTATTTAACCCCAACTGGTGCAATGAGTTGCTTCTCATTTCTTAAATAACCAAGTTGAAAGTCACATCGCGTGGTCGTGGAAAAGATGTCAGTCTGTTTGAGAAGGGTCAAATCATTGGCATCAAGAAGAGAAAACATCTAAGGAGTTTGCAGAAACTACTAAAATTGGGTTAAGAACTGTCCGACGCATTATTTAAAACTGGAAGGATCCATCGTCTTGGAGGAAAAAATGTGGCCAAAAAAAAAATCCTGAATGATCCTGATCGGCAATCAAGTAAACGTTTGGTGAAATCAAATGGAAGAAAAACAACAGTAGCACTCAGGGCTATGTTTAATAGTGAAAGTAAGAACATTTCCACATGCACAGTGCAAAGGGAGCTCAAGGGATTGGGCCTGAACAGCTGTGTAGCCTTAAGAAAACCACTAATCAGTGAGGCTAACTGGAAAAAAGGCTTCAATTTGCTAGCGAGCATAAAGATTGGACTCTGGAGCAATGGAAGAAGGTCATGTGGTCTGATGAGTCCAGATTTACCCTGTTACAGAGTGATGGGTGCATCAGGCTAAGAAGAGAGGCAGGTGAAGAGATGCACCCATCATGCCTAGTGCCGAGTCATCGATGCAAGATTTTGGTGAAAAATTTATGTAACACTGGATGGAAATAGATCTTGTGACATTGCAGATGCTGATCGAAACAAAGCCACAGAGAATGCATGATGTAAACAAAGGTGGTCCAGTGAAATATTATAGTGTGAACTTTTTTGGTGGCAACATTTTTTTTTGGGCCAGGCAGTGTATAAAGCCATTTTGACAATATAACAGAAGAGGAGGATTCCCCTTTCAGCAAATGACCAATATGAAGCTAAATGCTCCTTACCTGCAGAGCACCTTACTGTAAGCAGGTTCAAAGTCCTGATACTGATAATAATCTGATGCTGATGTGCTAACAGATTAACCATCTCCTTATTGGAAAACCAGTACCAAAGTATAATTTAACAATTCAGATAATATTACGACTCATTTAGCTTCGGATTGGTCATTTGCTGACACGCCTACAGGATTGATGGACAGGTCGCGTCGTGGTGCTAGTGTCGACAAAAAGCAGTGTCTTCAGTCAGCTTTACTCAACAAAAATAATGTTTTTTTTAAACAAATTATAGCTTTAAAACACACATTAGGGGTTCCACATGAGACAAAATGGACAAACTGATGAACTAATTACCTGTAGCGCCCTCCATATGATGTCTGCACGTCTTCCCAAGAAGTCTACGAGTTTTACAACAAAAAAAAAATCAGATGGTTTAAAAATGAATATATTCAGGTTTTATTAATGCGACAAAATGATTTAATAGGAGCTCAGTTTGTTTGTTTTAATGTGCTTTCATGCAGTATGAAGTGAAGAATAGCATCAGACTGGTTTTACCTGCTGGACGTGGCTGTCGTCTGCATAGTACCACTGTTTGTTGTCCTTGTGACGGACAAAAGCAGTGTAGTGCCCCGACACCGCACAGCCACAGTGCACCACCACTGCGTATAAACTGTACCGACAGTCATCCTGGAAGAACGTGTACATTTTTAAACAAGTACAACATCCAGATATTGGATAGAAAATAAATTAAAAAAAAGTACCTGAGAAAAGTTTGCAGAGAAAACTTCCCGTAGACTCTCAGAGAAGTCAAAGGTTTCTGGGAAAGTGACTTCACAGTCCATTTTTCGGGTGGAGCCCCTCATGTTTCTGAATCGTTTCAGCTGGATGCACAAGATTTGAGGCAGGGAGTTAAGTTTGACGCCCTGAAAAAACAATTTAAGAGTTTTTTTTAAGTTGGGCGAAGCAGTTCTGAGCAGTCAGTATCTTACATGCAGGAGATAGTTTTGGAGAACGAGCACCGTTTTTTCTAAATACGTTAATTCCTCTGTCACGTGAGCAAGTCCCTGCAAAGCATGTGAGAATTTTACCAAACCTGGCAAATGATTTAAGATGTTTCAAAACTCTATTGTAAATTCAATTAGCATTTAGTCACCAACAGACACAGCAAAGTGACGCAGTAAGATTTGTACTTAAAAACTAGCTCACACTCAGCTAAATCTGGCATAAGTTACTGCATGTTTTTTTTTTTAAAACCAACAACTTTTCCGTTGTCTCTTATCTACTAGAACAGACATGTTTGTGTTTCCCAGATATGCTTATTGGTGTATGAGTGAGAAAGTACAGTGTTGTATATGGAGTGTAAAACATGTTTAGCAGAAAAAGCAGTGAAAGTGTGTGTGAGGGGAAAACGAGAAACAATGCAAAATGCTTAGCAGAACCTGGAGATGTTAAAAAGAACAATGTTCATTCAGTTCAATTCAAAAATACTTTATTAATCCCAACGGGAAATTAAGAGTCGTCGTAGCTAAGCATCCTGGTTTCATTCAAGAGTTGTTAAGATGCTGATAGCTGTGGACAGGAAGAATCTCCAGCAGCGAATCTGAAGAATCTGGCCACAGATACCGAGCCGACCACCTGGATCCAGCTTGCTGTCAGATCCGGCAGGCCTCTCGGTCCTCCTGGGCAGCAAGACTGCCCGAATGCCAGGAAGAATTCCTCCCTGAGCGATGGTCACTCCTCCCAGCATTCTGCCGAGCTCCTCGTCGCCACGGACAGACAGCTGAAGGCGCCGGGGGATGATGGTCAGGTACTCTAGTACCGCCGCCAGTTTGACGGGAATTCATCCTTGGTGCCTCCTTTTCAAGTCAATTGAGATTTGGGTCTGTAGTTGTGATATTTGAGCTTTTGAAATGTTAATCAGCTGCTCCTGGTTGTTAAAAAAAATCACCTTGTTGCCATGGTTACGCATCACAACAAATACCCACAAGTGAAAAGGTTTCAGTAAAAATCCTTCCAGCCGCACAGCATCCGATACCAGAGGAAGTAATCATCCGAAAAAAGAGATTTACATCCAGAAAAAAAGAGGAATTAAAAGTTTTCAAAAGCAATAACTCAGAATGAATGTAACAGATACTCCAACTTGCAGCCATCCCAAGCGGCACAATTGAGTACGTACGATTTTATACATACTCAACTTTGAAATAAATTGTTCTTTTAATGTCAATGCTGATGATGACTTAAGAAAACGCCTTCGAGCAGCGTTTAAATCACGTCTCACCCGTCTGGATGGCTTCCTGGTCCCACACTGGGAACAAAAGCAGCTGTTTGCTCCTCTCAGCTCCTGATGCTCAAAGAATGAGGCCATGCACCCCTCCTGAAAAACATTCAGTTAGAGATGAGGAGCAAAAAGGCTCGGGGAGCATCAGTGTGTCCATCTGAGAAGGAATTAACCACGTTGTAACAATTCTTTAAATTAACATTCGCGTGTAATAAAACAAACACACCAGTGAGTTGTGATCTTCCTTTATGTGTAAAGGCAGACTGAGAAGGTAGGTGCTCCGACTCTGAACAGAGTTACACTCCAAGCACTGCAGCTGGGTCTCCATTGAAATCTTGTACAGATTCTGGATTTCGAGAGCCTGCCAGAGAAAACAAACCCTCTACAGACGACGCATTTAAAGACCAAAGTAAGAGAGCATTTCAGATTAAACCCCAACCAGATCTCTGTCCTCCATTTGCTGCTGGATTAGGTTCAGGATGGAGAGGAAAACCTCGTCAGCGTCATGTTGGATATTCACTGCAAAACAAAAACTGTCAGAAGTCGCAACGTTCTAAATGTATTTCACTGTCCGGACACGTCTCTTACGATGGATGGAGTTTCTGTCCAGACAGTTGAGGAAGTCTCGATGTGGACAGGGTTGAGGGGGGTCACTCCGCATGGCCGCGAGAACCTTCTTCAGCTGCAGGGGAACATTACGACTGTCTGCTCTCAGCCCAGCTGTGGCCCACCTTGTGAAAGTCACAAACGCTCTTTAACCTTTTCAGCTCTGAATCAGAGGCTCATTTCCAGATGGACCACTAATCAAAGACATATTTTTGTGTTTCTCTAAAAAGATATATGTGGCAGAGGTCAGAGGTGGATTAACCACTTACTTTTCTAGTATGCCTGCCAGTTCCCAGGTGGCAGCGAGGCTCTGCAGCAAAGAGTTCACACAGCAGGACAGATAATAGTTGGTTAGACCTCTCATTCCTGACAACAAAAAACAATAAACAAGCAGTATGTCATTATGTACCAATGTCCAAATCTACCATCATGACTTTAGTGGACAATGACTAGGCCCGTCACAATAACAAATTTTGCTGGGTGATTAATTGTCTCAGAAATTATTGCGATAAACGATAATATTGTTTGAAATTTGACGATAATTAGTAATTATCGTCAAATTTAAGAAGAAATGTTGAATTTGTTTTGAGTTGTAGTATCTTTTTTGACCACCGGATGGCAGTATAAGACTGAACCAAAGGATAGATAGTGAGGGAGCGAGCAGCCTGTCTCTTTAAGAAAAATGGGAGGGACGCCCCTTGACATCACATGGGCGGTCCCTCTTTCCATTTTTTTTGGTTCTCAAAATGGCGGATGCTCAAGTGGTTTGAGCTCCTTAGCATAGCATTTTTCGCAAAAAGCTTTAAAAAAAAAAAAAAAAAAAAACAGTAAACAAGTTCTCAGCTTCAGTTTAGCTACTTTTAATGATCCAAAACGTGATTTTGGATGGTTACAATGGATTTTAATGAGAAACGATAAAAAAAGAGAAAGGGTCAGTGAAAACACTTTTTGTCGTCCAGTGTCTTCAGTAGAAAGAGAGACACAAGAAATGATAAAGCTGATAAATGAAAATGAGGTTGACAATTTATTTATCATGCGATTGATTTATTGTTTATCGCGACAGGCCTAACAATAACCAGCAAAATGAGTAAAATCCAAATTAAATGTCAAAAATTTGTAGTCACATTTAACATAATGTAAATATAATGTAAATTGTATTATATCACCTAATAGGCTATGTTTTGATAATACAATTTAAGAACTGGATTCGGAGTGTTTTTAAAAGTAATAATCTCTTGTATTTGTATACAGTATTCAGAACTGAAATTAATTTGCTGATCATTAAAGGTGACGGTTTTATTGTGCACAGCTTTATTCTGTTTTTAACATCAAAAATACAGTAGCATGTTTATTTTAATCTAGTCTATTCAAATGTTCATTTATAGATTTTTTTTAAATAAATTTTTGAAACTTTTGTGAATAATTGCTAAACATCTCATTCAGTTTGGGTCTACTCACCGAGCTGCGCGTTTCTGCGCAACAGTTCTGAAAAAAATCGACAGACCCCAGCAGACATGACGTTTTCTCCTCCGAGCAGGCCACAGGTTCGAAACCCGGTATGAGAAGGTTCCTACTCCAGAACCACCAGGAGTTGAAGCAGTTTCCCGTGGAGCGGAAGAGATGTCAGCTGAGCTCCAGGAAACAACCTCCATCAGTCTCCGGTTAACTTTCGTTTCTCTTCCCTTCGCTGGAATCGAAACTTAATGCTGCGTTCACGTTTCCTCGAAAATCGGATCTTCCAATTGAATGTTTCGTTTCGTGTCAGATCTTGGAATTTCGGAGTCGAAAAACATCACGTGGAACACTCACTTAAAATGACATTTTATCTGAGAGTTCCTGTCCAGCAGACTTTAAAAATATGTCGAGACGTAATACAATTAAGAAACTACAGTTTCTTTATTAAAATCAGGTCTATCTTGTAAATGACTCCCCGAGGCTCAATTGGAATAACCTGTCTAAATAAAGGTTGGAAAAAAAACAAAACAACAATAAAGAAACTGACTGACCGAACCTGGAACTTCTGAATTCCGAGTACAATTTAACGCACCAGATTTCTAAATCAGCCATAACATTATGACTGGTTAATTAACTTAAGTTGGATGTTATTTTTGCCATTTTTCTGCACAAGGCACCAACACTCCCCTAAAGTAGCAGCTCCTTTTCATCTGCGGAGGATGGAACAACGTTTCACTGACTCTTTCTAAACATTTTCAGATTTAACCTGAGAACTTTGTCATATGACAGGCAGGCATTTTGTCTAAAAAAGGTTTACAATATATTTAGAAAGAGAAAATAGTCTGGAAAGATTAGAAATCTATTTTTTTTCTTCACCGTTAAGATTTTAGTTTTCCTGTACATCAGCTGATGTGATATTTCCAGACCTTACACGATTAAATAGCAATAAACTACTATATAATCATATTTTTGTAATAAAAACACTAACAATTTCTCAACGATAAGCATTTATGCTTTAGCAAAAGTAAACGTACAGACTCGAAGATTTAAAGCTGTGCACACAATTAGAATATTTGTGATTTAAATTGCATCCCACTGACAGACAAAATTCAAATTGGTGGATGAATGTTGGAATGTCCAGGGTGTTGAATTATTCCACAAAAATCACCAAAATCAAACACAAATGTCCATGAATCTACCTGCATGCTACCCTTATGGTAATTATATTATTGCTGACTATTTTCAAATAGGATTTGCGATTATTTTTTTTGTGTGTGTAATAATAAGATGGCATTTTCTGAAGTTACAACATAAAGGATTGGTCACTCATATAAAGGTGAACTGGTTAGTCGTTTCTGTTGACAAGCCAGGTAATAAACCTTGTTGCTGATGGCAAAACACCCCAGCAATATCAAAAGAGTGTGGTTCAAAAAGTCCAACTAATACTATTTCTGTACACTGCATCTTTTACAGTCCTTTGTTTTAAGTGACAGCTTGATAATACGGTGCAAACATGGCTCTCCACATCTGTTTGATGAGCTCAAGAAGTTTGGAAATCCACATGAATGAAGATGGATGAGCTGCAAGACAAAAAAGTTCACAAAATAGGGTAATTTACAATCACTAATCTTCTTTGAAACATGACAATGCTATCAGGAAAAGTAGAAACATTTTTTTCCAACCTGAATCCATTTTGAGGAGCAGCATATAGAGGAGAACAGCTGCTAGAAAAACTCTCTGGACAGCGAATGAGCCACAGCCTGCCATTAAGCATTTTCTGTATAAAAACCTGAGCATAGCTTGAAGTTTTTGAATTATGGCACCTGCAGAGCACAGTGAGTAAAATCATCTTGTGTGATTATATAACATGTATTTCAGCTAATGCATGCAAAGGACAAAGCTGAGATATTAGACCTTGAGGGGAGGCATGTCCTGCACTCTCTGAGTCTGGAGTGACTGCTGGATTTAAAGACGATTCTTCCTTCTGCAGAGCTTTTTCTTCCACAACATCCAGAGCGGTTTGTCTCTGGTCGTCTGTGAACACAGCAAGACCGAGCTCACCTGAAATGAGTTCCCGTGCCTCCTCTAGATGTTCGAGAGGCACCAGCACGTGCAGCAGATAGAGCTCCGCGACTGTGCGGAAACCAGGCGCTTTGCAGCTTGAGCTGTGTAACCAAACTCTGGTCGCTTCCTGCATCACAGCAGGTTTGCCCACTTTAGAGTGAAGAAGAATGCTGCAAAAACATATACCGGTATGTATATTATAAAATCTGTTTTTGTTCAGTTGTTTAAACATATTTTAGAAGGTTTCCACATTTCTGTGTGTGATCATTCCAAAGCTATACATCAGACTGAACATGAGTTTTAACATAAAAATATATTTTTGAACCAATTTTGACTAAATGTTGGATTTGAGGTATTGACCATGACTAGAATTATGATGATATTTACATTTAATACCATGTCAAAACTTTTGGGTACTGTTCTGTCCACAAACAACCCACAACCTATTCCTCTCACCACATCTGTATTATTTTAGCAGGTATGTTTTCCAGGTGTTCATACTGCTGCAAGACCCAGGAGAAGACATCACCCCACTGATTGAGCTCAGCCAGAGCCTGAACCCCTATAATGCAGAAAGCAGCTTTTAACTCTCCCCATCTGCAGATAGAAAACAAATAAACACGATGTTAAACAACATTAGTGATCAACAGTGCACCTGTGAATGACTTCATTTAAGGAACCTGTTGTCTTCTGAGTCCGTGCTCGCGAGACACTCCAAACCTCTGCTGCACGTGTCAAAAGCCGCGTGGAAATCTCTGTGGACCATCATGAACTCAGCAGCTGAATCCAGTCTGCTAAACAGCTGAGATAAAGAAGACACCGGAGGAGAGAAGCAGCAGACGGAATCGGAGCTGCTGCATGAACTGCAGCTGCTCATGACTTTTAAAGACGTTTAAAATAGAAACAGGGAGGGAAAAAAACTACAAGAGTGCTTCCCTTTGAGTTAAATAACAGCTGGTTGCTAAACAAACTCTAGAACATCTTATTTACACTCGGAACTTCCGGGATTCAGGTCGCCAACCAATCAGATGTCACGGTCTTCAGCTTGTTTTAAATAACCAATTAGATTGCAGCATGAACTTTGGTCGGTCTTGACTAGCCAATCGCGTTACAGCTTCTATCCTTTACGCACGTGTAAAGCGTAGCAGCGTGTATCCAGCTAGTTTTGAGCAAATAACAGTTATGTAAGTAACACTTTTCTTTTTTAAACAAACTATTACAAACCCGCATTATTTAATTTGCTAAGTTAGTGTGCGCTGATGTGTTTTTACGGCTTTAACGGTTGAAAAGGTAATTATAAACGTAGGTGTTAGCTAGCTATTAGCTTAATAACATTATAACGCATCTCATCTGTTAACAACTCGTTATTTTCAGAATGTATTACTACATATTCTTGGTATTTTATGGCAAATGCGTGAGTCTTTGTGTCCTAACTTACGATACTTAAACAATTAAGTATGTATTATGGGGAAGCCCGACCTGCCAAGAGATAAACTTATGCTATAATTTTGTTTAACTTTAAATTCAGTCAGAGTTTCTTTGTCATTCGCACCACGTGGTACATGTGGTGGAACGAAATTATGTACACACGGTCCCTGTTACATCCAACAATAAAATGTAAAAAGAAAAACGGTAATAAGATCCAAGATATGAACTAACAATTCGATGTTTTGTGCACATTAGTTCATTTTACAATTGTTATTTAAAGTGACACTGACATCAGTGATTGTTTTCAAAGATTTCTTAAAAAGACTGTGGGTATTAGCAGAACAGGTTAAAAGAAAACCTTTAAAATGCTTTCAGAGGCCTTGAAAACCATTGGCCAAGACCTTAAACTTTTTTTTAAATATTGATTTTTTTAGAGTGGTAACCTTTAGCACAGTACACATTTCCTGTTATTTAAGGGATTGTAAAAACTGAAATATCTAATTGTCTATTTTCCTGTAAAACCTTTATACACTACACTAAAAATGTAAAAAAAAAAAAAAAAAGGTGAGGTAACTCACTTCGTTTTATTCTTTTCTCCAGCACATCTTCAAAATGGCTAAGAGTCTCCGAAGCAAATGGAAGCGAAAAATGAAAGCGGAGAAGAGGAAGAAAAATGCTCCAAAGGAACTGGCTCGACTCAAACAAGTTCTGAGTCTCGACAAGAAAGGAGAAGATGAAATGGCTGACTTGCAGGACATCGCCACGGTCGTGCCTGCTGAAAAGATAAAGAAGCAGACAGATGTTGTCATGGCAGAGGAAGAGGGGGACGGTGAGTGGATTAGTGGTTATTTTTCTAGTTTTAAAGCAGGATGTCTTTGTGGTGTTTTTGTTATGCTAATGCCTGCTTTATTTTTATTCATTACAGATGGGAAGATGGACATGGATAACAAGCGAAACCCTAAAACACTTTTGGATAAAAATGGACAGTATCCTGTATGGATGAATCCGCGGCAGGCCAGGAAACTGAAAGCCAAACGGATGGCAAAGAAGGGCAAGGGCAAGATGAAGAAGAAGAAGGGTATCGCCTGGTAATACGGAGGAAACCAAAACATCAAAGACAGAACTAAATCTGCCAACTTTCTGCCATTACTTCAATAAGACTGGGACATTCATGGTTGCACAACAAAGCCTGAAATGATGAAAAATGCTAATTCTTATGGAACATCAACTGTTGTAAACAAACATGTAAAGTGTTTTTGACCACACAGTGACTTGGTGTTGGGAAAAGTTTTAAGATAAAGATGATTTCTTGACATTTGGCTTGTTCTGTTTGCTGTATTTGTTTTTGCATTCCATGTTTGAGTAATTTGTAATTACTGTACATCTTAATGTCTCAGTGAATACCTGCATTATCATGCTTGAGGTAACTAACATCAAGCGGTATGTTTGCTTAAAAGTATTCGTTCGTAAAGCACAGGTTTAATATTGCCAGTAATAACATTTTTCATATGAGCAACAACCTTTTGTTATAACTGCTTTATTGTTTGTAGTAAGTACACTGCATTTAAAGTGTTTTTACATCTTCATATGTTTAGATACAAACCGTTAAAATGGTTAAATTATCAGAAAAGCTGCACTGATTTGTTCTACAAATGCAGCGCTACATTATTAGACACCTGAGTTTTAAAAGGTACTGCAAAGTATGAAATCAAACATAAAAAGGTAAAATAAACTAAATGAAACGGTGCAGTTTGAAAGTGTTTACTCCAGTAGTTTTACAGTAATGGATGTGATTGAAGTGCGGGTCCACACTCGATGTCAACAAAGCACCCAGCAGAATCCACCAAAAACTACATAGTTGGCATTCTGTCACAAAATTGAACTTAAAAGTAAATTAACCATCAGTAAGAGAAAATAGTACAGATTATGTTTCTTTGAGACAGTTTTTTTTCTTCTTCATGACCTTGCAGTGAGGACCTTCATGTGAAGCGTGTGCAAAACCAAATGGCTGCGTTCTACATGAGCTGGACGTACGCAGCCGGGAACAGACCCACACGCCCGTGACACTGTCCCTTCCACCAGCCTTCGTCGATCATCTCTATGTCGACGATGACATCATCTGGATTGAAGGAGATCTCATCGTCTGCCTCTGCACGAAAATGTTATAATAGACGACGAATTTAAATATCAGGTCTTGAGCTAAATCTTCCTGGATGAAGAGAAATTCGAACCTAAGGGTCTTACCTCCCTGGTAGTCGTAAATGGCCACAGCCTTCTGACCGTGAGACAAATCCTCAACACCCACAGCTGGAAATAAAATCAGATTAATATAGGTTGAAAGTGAAAGGCTTCCAGTTGAACTTTACTCAGAGGCAGACCTGCTGGTTCAATCTGAGGAGGAACACCAAGTTCTTCATAGCCCGCTTCATCCTCTTCCTCCTTCACCTCCTTGGACCTGTCCGGGGGAGGGGGGGGATATAGTTCGAGGAAATCGTCTGCGCGTGGAGGCAGGTCTGGTGCGTTTTCATACAAAGAATCTTCCTAGGGAGAAACATTTAATGTGTTCACCTTCAAGTCTGATGGAAATTTCTTTGGTTGCTTCCAGGCTTTAAAATCCCACAGGAAATGATTGAAACTTTAAATGATCATGCCCGAGCTTTAAATTAAAAATAAATATTTTGAAAAGCCCACGTTTTAGCCTTTTGGTCGAATCTGAAAAATAACGTGTTCGATCATGCACAACATCACAAGCTTTGACACATTTTTGAGCTCTCATTATGTGTTGGGAATGGCTTTCAGCTAAAAACCACATAACATTGTAGCTCAATAAATTTGACTGAGTCAAGACCAAGTGTGTCAAACTAATTTCCACCGAGGGCCAAATCAGCATAATGGTTGCCCACAAAGGGCCAGAGCTATAAGACAGTGTAAATGTTGCTAAATTTAACTAAATGTAAAATAAATGCAACTACCCCTTAATGTTAAATAACTGAATTTTTTACTTATTCAACTTACAAATATTACATATATTTGCATAGATGTAGAAAACGTATCTGCTGTTATAACATAAAACCTTTTAATTTGCCAGGTTATGAAACCCATATTACTCCATAAATCAATGATCAAACTTTCCAAGTGAATAAGGAAAAATAACAAGTTATGACATTAACTTTGTTCAAAACATTTTGTCATAGTTAAGAGGGACAGAATAACGATCCAACCA